AAGCTCAATTTCTCACAGCGTTGCGTTAGAGCAGCACCGCGACTTAATTACACACCGTACAACACTGCTGCTTTCCGTGGTAGTAATAGTTTTTCCGCTAATAAGTGCTGGAATGATATCCCTAACAAACACACACACAAACTTTATAAGGAGGGAGCCACCCTAACCCAAAAACCAGAACGAGGAACAAAAAAAACCAAACTACAAAAAAAAAAAGTAAATATTAATTATATTATTTTAAGTACATTTACTCATGTCTATTTCATTAGAGTTGAATGTTTTTCACTTTTTATAACGTGTTTCACATTTCGTCTACTTATTAGGCTAAGTGCTCTCATTTAATTAAATACACGAACACCTTTGTGTTGATCGACAGCTGACACTTAACAGGTCTTCAACAACGCTGCTTGTTTTTAGGAAAACATGCAATCATAATGTGATATTGAAATCATTAGCATTGTTTTGAACTAAGAATGTGCACACTGTACACACTATGTCTATATATTATGTCACTGTGTATGTAAGCTTTAATAGTGCAAGGATACTTCAAAAATAGGTACTGACCATATGAAAATTGTTAAAAAATATTTATCTATACTAAAGTTGCCATACGTCCCTTCTATAGAGGACTATCTTCGTATTCGACCATCTAGTCCCCTATTGCTACGTGTGCGGTAGTTGTCTGGTTTTCGACAATTTCGGCAAAATACGGAAGTTGGTCGAGCGGCGCGGCGCGGCGCGCGGCCGGCGGCAGGGCGCACGACTCGCCATTGTCAGCTCATCAGAGCTGGTGGAACGCCAACCTGAGACCGTCGTATATTTATGTTGCCCGCGCGAACTCGACGCTACGTCAAACACATCGAGTTCATTTTTTTAAACCACTTTTGTTCCCATTGTAAAAGATGTCAAAGACGAAGTGTCATTTCTAGGATAAACTTACCAAAGAATGGAATTTATAAAGAAAGGTCGAACGGAAGTTGAAGGCCTGAGCTCCATTTGTAACTCACACATTTCCACAGAGCACAGGTTGTTAGTAAATCTGGTATACAACAGCATATTGCCACAAGTCTTCATAAATCACGTATTAGAACTGCATCAAGTTCATAGGTTATTTAAACATTTATGATAAAAAGATTCGAAAGGAAATTTTTTAATAGTAGCTATTGAGTGACTGCAGGAAACAAATTTATACGTCAACACCAATCCTTTGATTCGTAGGATTATAATACTGTCAAATGATTGCACTGCTGTATATAGACTTAAAAATTGCCACTAAACAAACTACTGATAGAACGAAGGCTAACGCAATAGTAAAAAAGCATTCCTGCCCCTCATAATGTGAAAAATGTGTAAATTTTTTGAATGGTTCGTTATATTTTGGAATAGCTGCTTATGCGAACAATCATTATGTTGGAAGCTCAATTCTTTAACGAAGAAATAGGCCAGCATTCTATGCTATTAAAATTGGGTTGTTTAAAATAATGAATAGTGAAACAATCGCTCAGTATCGCAACACCTCTCTAGAAAATGTTATCGCGTTTTGCGACGATAGTGTGAATAAGAAACCTCGGTGGTCTTACAGAGGAGCAACTAATAATGTGTTTTCAAAACTAAACACTGAGTTGGTACAAGATATTGAGTACATAGGATGTTCTGCACGTGTTCTACATAACACTCTGTCAACAGCCGCTGACTGAACTTCGATGTTAAATCGATAGTGACTAAAATATTCAAGTACTTCTACATTTACACTGTGAGGACAGAAAACCAAAAGGAGTTTTTGTGAATGTGTTGACGTTGTTTACAAAAACTTATCGTATGTCAGGAGCAGACAGCTGTCATTAGCCAGCGATTGGGCGAATACTAAACCTATGGCAGCCATTAACTGATTTTTCGCCAACGAAGAAAAATTAACAAAAGTTATTAAAGATTGTTTGATGTGTGGAGGCATATCGAACCTGGTGCGAGGTCGAACATACGGCGCGACCAGGTCTCGGTATGGCGCTGCGTGCCGCAGAGCGCACGTCGCTCTCGCACTCGCCTGCGCTAGTTTAAGTATAGTCGCCGGGTGCATTTCGAGTCGTGTATAAATTCTATTGTTCGATGTTAAATCTTCTTTCTCTTTGCTTTCACTGTGTATGCTATCCGCTTTCCTAAATGTTCCTTGTGCCCGTGGACAGTAAACATTTTGTGCTTTATGTGTGGCGACTTTTAACTACACGCATCACTACAGATGATTCAACAAAGTTTATTTTTGTTTCTTACATTCGCAGCTCAGTACATTTAAACCCAATTTAGAAAAATTGAAAAATCTAACACCACAGTACTTGAAGTAAAGTTTATATTACAAGAGACAAAGAAAATTACGATGGAGAGAAAAACATCTGATTTCATTGGAATAGCGACGAAGCAAATTTTGAATAACTTCAAGCGTGATTCTAAAAACAATAAAAAAGTATAAATTTTCGAAAACAAGCAACAGGTTTCGTCAATACCATCATTTTCAACACTTCAATGTCTTCGAAGTGTTCCCGAATGCGAACAAATTGAACAACTGTTACATATTTTACGCATTTTATCGCGTAAACATCAATAAATCATAAAATTATCAAAAACTTAAAATCACGACCGTGAACTGTGTCTAATTTGTGTAAATGACAATGCAACTCGGGAGGGCATCGCTGGAATCAAACCTGAGAAGCAAGAGATTCGTCGTTGACCGTCGCCAGGTTAGTGCGTGCTCGATTCTCCATATTCCGGTTGGCAATTCAAAATGTAAATCCAACATAATTCCACAAACATAATAATTTTCCTGTCCTTTCCGTTTCCACCCTGTTTGGGCCACAAATATTTGGTAACGCAAGAGGGGCCAATATTTCATCAGGAATGTTGTTATTATTTCGCAAAAGAAATGTTATATTAGATAAGAGAAAAATTAACCAGTATTTGTACTCGCAACGGAGAGAAACTTATGTATAAAGTAAACAAAAGGTATCGTTAATATGAGGGAATGCAGCGAGCGCAACACCTCGTTCACTTCCCTTTTCTACACACTATTTGGTTAAATCAAGAGTCCAAAGTTATATTTTATTCATAACTGGAACGCTTGGTCTCCACCAGAACCAGAATAGCCACAAGAAACGTCAACAAGAATTGCTGCAGAATGCAAGAACATTCTTATCGATCTACTTAAGCTATATCTGCTTATCGGACTAGTTTAGTATATTGCAAATATTTAAAGTAGTTATAAATGGATTTGTGAGATTTCGTACAAGACACAATTTTTTTAAAGAATAATAGTAACCACTCTGAGCATAAAATGCTTATGTTAAGAGTGGTACACCACAGTAGTCAATTGGCGCATTCAACCCCACGACTTTCTAATTTTGCGACGCAAACCCCACCAGTAAGTTACTGTTGCTTATAGCAGCCGCAGAAACTAACATGACCGCACACGACTGTAGTAAGATAAGTTTAGAGTTAGGGGGTGAGGGACGCCTACACTTTCTCACTGTAACGATGCAAGCACTCGCACTCTCTTAAAACTTTAAGCTAGCTTGGACCCACGGATTTACGCACCTCAGCTGCTGCCGCAGAGGAACAGCTTCCAGTTTCACTACATCGATAGGAATATTTAAACTTATCTAGAAAATAAATTACTCAAAGAAAAACAAGATTTACATAATTGACATACTAATACAAACTTGGCATATTCTCTAATACACACCTTTTCCACTTAATTATAAATTAATGTCTTTTCAATAAATGGTAAAATTTTATATACATTTAGCACAGATATGCACTTGTACAGTTACAATTTTATCACAATTATTATTACAAAACATTTTTACATGCTGTACAACTACGCATCTATCCAAACTAAACTTCGGTAAATACATAAAAAGAACCGTATCATGTGTGCTCATTCCTCTCGCAAGGACGCGCGACCAACACTCCATACAATACTGCACATTTATTAAAGAAAAACTAATTAATACAAACAGACGTTTCTTTACGAAAATCCATTTTATTATAGACGTTAAAAAATAATTAGCAAAGAACGCAACGGAAGCGCAGATCTTAGCTAGTTAATTATTAACATCTTTAATTAAACTTTAATAATTAAGAAATAGGCTTAAGACAAATGAATTACTTTTTTTAAAAAGTAAACACTTCCAAAAGATATCATTTCGACTTCGTGGCGAGAAAATATTCAATTCAATTTTATTTAAATCGAAAAATTGAAACAGAATTGATTCGAGAACCCATAGTAAGATAACTATAATATGAATTTAACTCTGCAGCCACCGCTGGCAATGAGGGATGATATTTTACGCTCACCAGATGTCGCTAGTTGGTACACTGCCATCATCACTGAAATATTGCGATTTAAATAACAGTTTTTCGGTTTTTAGTGTATGTATAGTGTATACACAAAACAATGCCTCCATGCTGTTAATTTTTAGATGTTTTAAATCCATCCACGTTTAGGAATATCCATAGTTTTGAATATAAGTAATATTTCAAAGAGAACATTAATTCCTACACTTTTTAAACAAATAAACGCTATAAAATCTGACAAATATTTCACCTCATTCCTAAGTGGCGCCGCTCTGGTGGATAGAGTTGTAGATACCCTCATTTATTCATTAGATGTCGCATTAGGAAACTTAAAATTAAACATTGCACCAAGTTTAGTTCCTGCTCACTATAATGATAAAAACGCGACTCTGCCATCATCTATTACAAAAATATGTCAACCAATTTCGTTAATTAGTCAACTTTAGCACCGAACTTGTGACTGCGGTGAACGTCGCAATGTTAACAGATTCACTTAGTTCAATAATCCAGTCTCGCCGCTGTAGCATTAACACTCGTATCACATACGGCATAAGGTACGTTTTAGCTTGGCAGTCTGTTTCACAGCTGCGGACTCACAGCGTGTTGAAGATGTCCCGCGCGTTATTCTTCGAGTCCCGCCGATACGAGCACTCGCTGAATCAGCTGCCGCTGCAACAACAATTTATTAACAACATTTCGCCTTACCTCACTCCCGTCCCGTCGCCCTGTAATGTCCCCTCAACTATAACATTAGTTGAAATGCCCTACAGTACTGATACACGATAACAGACGCAGAGATAAAGCAATTGAAACTAACATTAGAATAAGGCATTCTTACATACATAGATTTTTTACACTCCTTGGCCCTTTTCTGTATAATCAAGTCAATGCAATTATGTATCCATTAAAAGTGGCAGATTGTAAAAATGTATAATATGTGCCAAATCGATTGAGTACACGGATAAAGCCTGAATGTGTCCGGCTTTATCCGGACGCCTGGCGACGCTAGCCACGGCCATCGACGCGAACTACGATAATATCGAAACGAGACGGAGCGCGCGAAATAAATTATTACAGGTCCAACCCAGACAACCGCTCGCGCTGTATTGAACGCAGCAGGGCCGCCGCAGTGAAGTATATGGTAATTATATTTAATTAATTCAAAAATAATTGAAACGATTTAAAAAGTAAAAATCATAACAGAGTTTAAGCAAATGTTGATGATTATTTTGGTATAAATTTTACGCCAAAATTATGTAGAAATTTGGAGATATTGGGGCTTGTATCGAAGTTTTTTCGGTAGATAATTTAATTAAGTCGATTTTTTCCCTTACTTGAAAGGCATATAAAGAAAATGTATTTAATAATTATTAAAGTATAGGATATTTGTGAGATAAACATATTCTTTTCGATGATCGATATTCAATAGAATCTATGAATTATAGCTCTCAAATCATGTCTCTCAGAGTTTTTGCCTAAACATGGTTCGGGAGAATGATTATTACTAAATATATAAATAAGTTATCTAAAATATGCCTTGAGCTTATTGTAGTAGAGAAAACGAACTATTTTCACCAAGTATTTGTTATTTCAAGCAACGAACGGAAAACATATAATTTCAACGAGGAAACCTCGTAATTTTGCGTTTTTTTTTTGTAATACTCCTCTTGAGTTATTTTCTTTAGGAAATTAAATATAGAGTCAAAACCAGATTTTAGAACTTCATATCTATGTCGATATTATACTGGGTGACTTTTTTACCCTCTGGAAAATTATATGGCGTTTTTTGTAAGAGGAACGGAAGCTATCCTCAAAAGTATTTGTAAAATATAACTATAATAGCACAGAATAAATTACAATACAAGAACAGAAGGATCACTCTCTGATAGCATACTTGCGAATTTAAACCCAGTTACAACGTCGCTAATGTTCATAATACTTTGCACACCTCGGAAGCGACCTTCGTGAAATTAGCCTACCGATTACATCGTCGAAAAAAATTAATGCAGATAATTTACCTACTTACAAAACTACTTACTACATGAAAGAATGGCAATGGGAAATGCTACTATTGAATAAAACTAAATTTGCGGATTTTATCGCGTTTATTTCACTACTTTTACTTATTTTTAATTCCCGACGTTTCGGGTGCTTTACAGCAACCATGGTCACGGGGGGGGACTGAGATGTTTGACGTCCCAATGTCATTGTTAGCCCGGCTACCTTCAGTTTTTTAATATTAATTTTTGGTCCGATTTACGCAAAACGAACTTACATTATCTTGAAGTCTTGTAGCGGTATGCTTGGGTTTGGGTTTAATTTTGTTAATTATAGGATCCCAAGCAGATGGCAGCACCCAACCATCTTCTCTATTGAAATTAGGATGTTTTTTAATTTCAATAGCCTCGCATCATCCTTAATCCGAGGACGGTTATCCGTATGGTGGGGACTCAACCACAACTTCCCGAATTTTCATGGTCCCCACCTTCTCAGACTTGATAAACCACAAGTCCTCGCAAAAGAAGATAAATGCAAATAAGTACTGTATTTGAATCAATCGTAGCAATTAGTCCAGACGCTGTGTTATTAAAATTTATTTCTTCAATATTTACCAAATAACATGATTTAATGTAAATAATTACTCCTTCACTTTGTTTGTACATAGTATAGTGCTGTATATAAGGAATATTTATAAGCTTGGGATCCTATAATTAATAAAATTAAAACTAAACCCAAGCATACCACTGCAAGACTTCAAAACACAGTTAGTTCATTCTGCGTAGATCGGACCAAAGACAATAATTAAAAAAGCTGAAGGTACTCCGGGTTAACTATGACATCGGGACGTCAGTCACCTCAGTCCCCCGTGACCATGGGTGCTGGAAAGCACCCGAAACGTCGGGTATTAAAAATAAAATAAATAAAACGCGATTAAATCCGTAAAAGTAGTTTTAATCGGTGTTGATGATATCAAGACTAATCGCCAACGCCACGCTGCAATTTCAATTATTGTTTAAGAGCCAAAAGGTACTGCATAGCATAGGGGTGCTTAAATAACAATAGTTATTTAAGCACCCCTACGCTATGCAGTACCTTTTGGCTCTTTGAGTGGCCACAGTTGAATAAAAACTCAAAATTCGTCAATCAAACTGCCTAAATACTTATAAGAGACAAATACATTTTTGTTAACGAAAGGTGCGCGTCAGCTTGAGCGCGCGAGTGAGAGCCTCACAGAATTAGCCTCCTGTAGGCGGCCATCCAACTTAGGTATATTTTCATGCGTAAAGCGCGGAGTAAGACAGGCTTGCTAATAGGCAAAATTTCCGAATATCCGAAAAAATATATAAAAGCAATTCATCTAGTTGGCCTTTGCGTGAAACAAAAAATAGGTGATATTATTTTAAACGGCGCGGCGTCGGCTACGATCACTAGTGACTGAAAGTTGTATGCGCGAGCGAGACATATGCACATTTCTTTCCTTAGGCATACATCGTCGTTTTGTGTGCGCCACCGAGGTAGCCGAGTGGGGGCGGCCTACATATCGTTCCGGACAATATTTTGAATCAGCCCTATTCAAAAAACCCAGCTGCAATACTTGCCTTCGTAATGCTTGCCAGCTAAGTGTTTTTTGAAACGCCGCGCGGTTTAGGAATGCAGATTACTGACGTTCAACCGGAATGACGTTACGATACATTGACTAAAACAGCAGAAAATGAAAATGGGCAAAACAATCTATACAGTAATATTAGTTTTTACCGCATCTCATGGGAATACTGAGAAATTTAAAGTTTAAAATATGAATATCACAATAACCTAAAAAGAAACTAATAGCGATTGTCTAGTAGTTTTCACCATTGTTATAAGTTAAAATAGTGCACTGTTAAATAATTAAGTTTATAACAAAATTAGTAAGTACATTCAACATTTTTAGATATTTTAAGATCGATGTAAAGTCCTGGGCAACACATAGTACACTGACAAACAAACATTGTGTGCGGACAAATGTGTGTTTGTCTGAATGTATTGATCGATTAGTGAATATACATCCCAAATACCATTACAGTAATTCAAGAAATACGAGTATGATTAAAGGTTAAAGCCAAGATGTTAACGGGACAATGTGTCCATTTATAATATATCCTATGTACACTACATATAGTAAAAAAGAGTAGAATAGTAGAATTACATGTTAAATTTTATCTCGCATTATAATGAATTAGTAAACAGTTTCTAATAACATTTTTATGCCTACCAAACACTGCAACATTTTAGGCGTATTCAAAAGACTGGAATGAAATTATTTACAAACTCCACTGTTCGGTTTATACCGAACACATTTTGTACGCGTCGGCATTTAACTTTTATTGAGAGGTGTTGTAAGAGGTGTTGTCTGGTGATCTCGCCGGCCAGTTCGCAGGTCTACCGCAACCTGTCCACCTATCACCGAATTGGCTATCTAGATATGTGCGCATAGAACATTCGTAATGGAGATTGACATCCGACGTGTTGGAAGTACATTGCTTGCAGATGGCTCAGAGGAACATTGTGTGGATTATGGAAAGTGTCATTTGCAAATACGTTACTCCCGTAAATCGACCTTCAACCCATATTGGACCAACGATGTGGCCATTAATGATTGCCGCCCAAACGTTAACACAGAAACGAACTTGATGATCATTTTCTTTGATTTTGTGTGGGTTTTGGAAACTTCACCAGTGCTCATTGTACACGTTGTGAATTCGAACGCGGGTAAATGTCAACTCGTCGCACGTGTTTAGTTTTCAACAGACAAAACGTAAGATCTCAACATTGCTAGATAGCTAAGTATTCGACATTAGAGTATTGGTACATATTTACGATAACTATCAGCGGTCGGCTGATACACATGCGGAAGCATAAACAACACGACGTCAAGCCGTAGCTATAGTCCGTTCGCGTTAAGAAAATAGTGAGTCATCAGTGCAACTACAGGGTAAAGGTGTGTTCACAGTGGAGTAAAAATTCTTTTTTTTTTTTCAAACATTTAATTAAGTTTAATGGAAACAAATTTTCTTAAAATCACTTAAATCACTAATCAGTATCGCTAGATTCTCCAGTTATATTATGAAAGAATTTTGTTCTGCAAGTTCCATGATGTCATCCAAATTCCACATGGTATTTTCTTTTTTTCACGGGTGATTTTAATGTGTTAGTATCCTTTTGTTCTTTAATAATTTTATAAACAGTATTTTCGGACACACCACATGCACTTGTTGTTTTTATTACTGTGTTCTCCAAAGTCGCATTTAAATCACACAGTTTAAAGTACTTATAAACATTGTAAATTACGCGTCTCTCTCCGCTATGGATTATTGATCCATTTTTATTCTTTCGAGTAGGTGAAGTATTCATTTTCAAAATTTAATGTTGAATGAGTAACGCAAAATACACAATCATTTTGTTCGAAGGCCTGACTTCAACTGGTCACTGTGAACTCGACTTTCTAATTTCTTGCATTTTAATCGGCTGGGGGGCGTGGCCAGGCCGGCGGACAACGATGACTCACTATTTTCTTAACGCGAACGGACTATAATCACAGGTGACTGAAATGAGAGTGCGGGGGCCTTGCGCCTGCGACCCTGCGGAAGGACAAGGACCTTTGTTCTTGTCTTTCGCAGGCCTAAGGCGCGGCGCGGCGAGTGAGTTATAATTTTATTGTTTTATTGCCGCTCGTAAAGTAGGGTGCGTATGATTTGAATTTATATAGTTTTTAATTGATTTATTTATTTAATGTAAAAATTTTCTTCTTATTTTTTTAGTATGATAAGTCTACTTCAAATTAGTAGTAGTAGAAGAAAAAAAATTGTAAAATATCAGTGCCATATAGGCTTTTACTCCGTTCATCTGTTGCATACTGTTTTTTCTAGCCGGTAAAAAGTCATCCAGTATAGTATAACAAATAATATATTGTCGCTATACAAAACGCTTTTTATGTACGTTACAGTTGGTAGGTTGTTAAAATTAATAAAGAATATGTCTAAGACTGGCAATGAGAGATGATGATAAAATCAATAACATTTGTATTAAGAGTGAATGCTGCTAAAGCTGTAAGAACACTTTGTAAATTTATATGATTTTATATTACCCTTTTAAATGTATTTTTTACGTGGTAGAGCTACACTGCAGCTATATTATGGTTGCAGCAATAGGTCGGCTCAACTGGGGCTCGCTGTCACAGATTAGTAACGTAAAATAGCAGCTCAATGCTGCTGTGTTTCGTATGCTGAGTGCAGAGAACCGGAGATCCTTTTTACTGAAAACGAGATGTTTCATTTTAGTTCTCAGGAGTGACAATGCATCTGAATTTTGATTCCTAATCCAGGATACATGTGTTTGGGCCACAGCATTCACTTACCATCGGGTAGACTATGTGCTGTTTTGTCACCATGTCCTATTTTTTTAATGTTCGTAAATATGGTGAGTGAGTGTAAAGTAGAATGGCGCATTGGAGTCTTTGCTACCTGCGCTCTCGCAGCGCCCGCCTGCGCGCGGTTTGGCGCTGGTGCTCGAGCTCGAAGTCGTCCTCTGAGAGCGGCAGGCGCTGCATGCGCGCCAGCAGGTAGCCCTCCGCCAGCACGTGCGGCGGCGGCTGGCGCAGCAGCTGCAGCGTCTCGCACAGGCCGGCCGCCCGCCGCCGCGCGCCCGCGTCCCCCAGCGCGCCCGCCAGGATCACCAGCGCCGCCTTGAATAGCACCTTTCAACAACCGAACACCTATGTTTTTACATCTTACTGTAATGATGATAATCTCCTGCTCACCAGATGTCGCTAGTTATGACTGAGGTAATGTTTTTGTTATACAATGTCAGTTAATTGAAAAATTATTTTTTAATAATAATTGATCAGTTCCTAGAGTAATATATGAATACACAAAACAATGCCTCAGGGTTTTGATCTTAATTTTTTTGCACTTTTAACTCTTTATTTTTCCACTTTTAGTTATATCTTTAATTTAGTTTATTCATTTCTTATTAAAAATAAACATTAACCCTTAAATCATCCTAAAAAATTATCTTCCCCGTTATGATAAACAAGTTCAGATTACGCTTTTTAAAGCATACTGCCGGAGCATATACACGGGCAACCTGTGGGTCAAATACACCAAAAGATAGCTTGAAGCCCTGCGCGTCCAATATAATAAAATATTCAGGATTCTGTTGGGACTGCCTCGTTGTTGTAGTGCATCGGGGATGTTTGCGGCATACAAAACAGATGGGTTTAATGCCATTATACGCAAAAAAGCCGCATCCCTTATTAACAGGGTACGAGCCAGCCGCAACAGCTGCATGACGCCCGCGAGGTCTGTCTCGGCACAGGTTGGTACTTTCTCTCCCCTCGAGTCAAGCAAGCCATGTTTTACCAACCCTTGATATGATTATTATTTGTGAACTACTACCCTACATGTGGATTTTAAATTATCCGAAATAAACAATTTATTTATTTATGAAATCTGTCAAATATTTCACCTTATTACAAAACAACGGCGTTCTGATGGCAAAAGTAGGGGATTTAAAAAACACACAGCTCACCTGATGATAAGTGGATGCTGTGACTCAAGGACACATATTTATTCTCGATTAAAAATTAAAATACAGATGCGTTGTAACCCCTGAACACCACGATAAAACACCCCGTTTCCAGTTAAAAGGGTCTCCAGTTCTCTACTCACCATAAAAAACGATAGCCGCATAAAGCTGTCATTTTGCTGTAATCCTACCTCAGCGCATGCACATGCCTTCTAATATTGATGACGCCCCGTTCCTCGTTACCTTAACGCCCTCGCACAGGAAGCAGTCCCACACGCGTAGCAAACTGTCCCAGGGCAGCGTGCGGGTGAGCGCGCACAGGAACCACTCGGTGGCGTACAGCACCGGCTCCACCTTGTGGCGCGCCAGGTGCCGATGCACGGCCGGGGCCGTGCGCCGCAGCAACGCCTGCAGGATGTCGCCGTCGCGCTGCAGCACCTGCACCACACGCACACTCCACTCACACACGCGCACGCACGAGCACGCACACATATGCATACAAAACCATACATTAAGCAACCAACAGCAACATGAGTTACATGACAACATTTACAGGTTCTAAAAAAAAATTATACGAAGGTGCGTTTTTAAGTTCGCGGAATGGGTAGGTAGGTAATAAGTGGTGACGTCCCTGAATTACTTGTTAATTGAACAACTCATTTTTAGTATAAATAACGAGTTTTACTGTAATTAGAGCATTAGTCTTTAAGTTATCGTCAACCAAACAAGTCAATCGGGAAGATCTTGTGAAATGTGGAGAAAATTGAGTTCCATGCTGTTATAAAATTTCTTACCAAGCGCGGAAAATCAGTTCAGACTACACTGGCAGAGATATCATCCGTTTACTAGTACTACTGTAAAAACTAAGTATAATTTTCACTGTAAGATAAGTTAAAATACTTTACTTTGAGTACCTATATCAAATCATTGAAAAATTTCTATCTGCCAAGTATAACAATACCTATAGCAAAATCCTCAATACAACGGAAGAGTCCCTGCAATAAACTCCTACGACCGGTGATGTAACGATAATCTTGAAATTCTAAGTGAAACTCTCACTTAGCGATCAGCCGCCGTAGAGTCTACATCACCTGAAGATGCCTCGTGTAGAGGCGATACACGTGTCGTATTGTCGTCGATGGTGTGTCTTTCCTGAAATAGTGGTGTTGGGAGTAGTGGTGCCAAGTAGTGGTGTTGGGAGTAGTGGTGCTGGGATTAGTGGTGACGGGATTAGTGCACGCAATTGAGGTAGGGCGGGAGGTGCTCTTCAATCCAGGTAACACACATCATTGTATTTTTAAGCGGATGGTTGCGAATTAATTAATGTCTTTATTGTAATTGATTACCTCAAAGTAACGCCTCTTGAAATTCTAACTCAATCTATAAGTAACAGCACGTCTTTGCGTCAACCAAGTGTGTGACATACCAATTATAAATTTCGAGTAAAAGTAAAGTGTTACCTCCAGCCCGGGGTTGTAATAGCCGCTGAGATACTTGTCGCTGATGCTGACGAGGCACCAGAAGGCTTGCACGGCCGGCATGTGCATGAGGAGGAAGGCCGCCACCGGCGCCTGCGCCTGGAAGTAGCCCACCTTCGGGTTCAGCACCGAGTACGCTTTTAGCACGGAGAACAGCTCTTGTTGCCTGAAAAACATACAACATATAGGTAATTATAATCTAGTGTCAACTGAATCCATATCTCATCTCAATCCCAATCTGAAAAACAGACGCTGAGAACTTGTGTGTTAAGAGGAGAGTCTGGTTTGCAAGACGATATTGTGACTAGGATTAAAAAAGGAACGCTTCGGTGATGATTTCTGAAATTTACGCGAACACTACACATTGAATAATTAAATAATATATTTAAGGATTTTATCGCGTTTAATTAACGACTTTAACTTATTTTTAATTCCCGACGTTTTGAATATAGCTGCTTGTTGCAGCTATATTCCGCTGGATCTACTCGACCGGGAGAAGAGCACGCTGTTCGTATGGTGAGTGACGAGATTCGCAAACATTTCATCTTAGCCTTAAAGGGCGCTAATGCATCTGAATTTTGTTTCTTAATAAAGTTTTCAATTATTTTTAATATCTTCATTATCTCACCTTTGTCAAACTCGATTCTATGTTCCTTATTCAACACTTCAGAGTTCCGAAAGATTGCGATATTTTTGCTTCTGTGTTTACAAAAAATGTTTAAAAAAAAACTAAAAATTAAATTATTATACAGTCCTCCCCAAAAACATTGGCTGCGTTTCCACACTGAATATGGCTATAATTAGCCTTTAACCGAAGAAAGAACCAGCCCTCTTAACACCAGCAGTGATGACCAGTCGCGGATACAGTTGCTTAAAGAATTTATTCTTATAATAAAAAAGCAAAAGTTGTTTATCATTCAGCCAAGAATACGTGGTGTCCATTTATAACCTAATATGTGGCGACAATCCTACCTTAGGTTGCATTTGTAACAACACAGGAAACACTTTGTCGAACTCCCGTATTACACATGTTCCGTATCATGCGAAGATTTACGCGATAGTGCTTGTGCAGCTGGTTTATCACTTTTTCTTGAAAACTTATGTGTTACATGTTATATCAGTTAAGTCCTTTGGTAGTACTATTAGTATCAGGTACTTTAAGTGTTGAATGGCGTTTATCACTGTTGTAAATTCACCTTTTAATTTACTAATGAGGACCTTTAATTGGCTTGTTGTAGGTATTATAATTATTACGGCTATTGTACTTCCAAATAAATTAAATTAAAAATAAATAAAACACTTATACTGAAGTGCAATGTTTTTGTCATATGACTATTGTAAGCTCGCGTAATTAAAAAAAAGTAATTACTATTGCGGTAAATTCTTATATATGTATTAAAATTTGACAATCCAAATATACTTATAAACGTATAATTGATTACATTGTTTGATAAAGTTATGGTAATGTTACCAATAGATTAGCTAGCGGGACTTTAAGTTTTAATTTACAATACAATATTTTATAAAATTAATTATGAAAACATTTAGAAAAACTATGGTAATGATCACCTCATTCCCAGAGGTTATTTATTATGAATCATGTACTCTTTAGTAGTATAATAATTAATAACCCGTACTAAATAATTTTTGCTTAATACACATTTTAAAACTTTTGATAGATAAGTCCTGGTATTTATTATGTACTAGCAAGCAGCCTGGCTTCGCCTGGGAGCTATCTATTAATGTCATATCATGACATTATTTACATTTAATATAATCATTAACGAACAGCTATTTTATCAATTATTCGATGTCGCAAAAAAGCCTAAAACTTTTTTTGGAAAAAATACAGCCTAGTCTAAGTTTCATTACAATCGGTGAAGCCGTCTCGAACATCAGCCCGGGCTCGCGGGCAGCAGACAGACAGACGAAGATTCTTAAAATGGTTATTGGTCTTAGTGGCGTGCATATAACCCCCAGAGCTTAATGTAACAGTTATTTCAACATTGTGGAGAGGAACTTCAATAATATTTATTGTGTTATTATAATACTTACAAGTAATGCTATAATGCGCTTTCGTCTGCTACGTAGTGACCTTCTTCATTCATATGAATGTTGTAGGTTATTGCGGCTTACGAAGAATTTTATAATCTCAAGAATTTTAAATTCACTTAAGAGACTTATACTTTCATCGTGTAGCGGCGGTGTAAGATCACCCACTACCCCATACCGGCCCGCGGGCGTCGTGCGAGCCGACAGAGGGACACAAGCAGCAGATGGCCAGCAGAAGCTTTCTCATAACAACTCAAAATTATTTAAAAAAAACTGCGTTCGTGAAGCAGCTTCATTTGCGTGGCAGCCGTGGCGGAATCATCCCCTATGAAGCAATCTATGGGGGACCTATGTTCAGCTGGACTTTTATGGGCTGTAATAAATGGATCACGGATCAGACTTACATATGTTTAACTTAATACTTATAAATTTATGATTACTTGGATTAAATGTTTGCCTGGACATCATACGGCGCAGACGTGTGTCACATTTCTACAGAATATTGATCTCAACTACGAGGCAACATACACACGTATTACTACTAGCAATAGTGCTATTGTCGCTTGAATTACTGCGCAATTCCTGCTTGCTATAGTGTGTTGAGGAAGCCGGCTACTACCACATGAGTCATTTATACTTAACCGAGCTAATAACACACATATAAGAATGAATGTTGTATGCTCACCTACAAGAAGTGATTTGAGTGATACACTTCGTGATTCACAACATAAGTCGAAAATAATATATTTTCGTAATAAAAGGAAAAAAAGGAAAAAAAACGAAGATATAACAGTGATAAAAAGGAGGTATAGAAATCGACTAACAAAATGTAGCAGATAAAGTCGATTTTATCTTCAAATTGTACTAACCAAACGAAGTATCTTCCAAAAAAAAAAAATATCTTAAAAATATCTTCCGATGTCAAAGAACGATTTTTTTTTTCAAAGAACGAATCAATGAGATGAAATCGACCATAAACCATGCTACCAAAGAAAACAATATTATAAAATCTGATATTTTAAACTTATTACAGACAATCAAAGAGGGTAAGCAAACAGAAGATCTGTCATCTTGAATCCGAAAGCAAAAACCTTAAAATAACTACAAGAACTTCTTTTCTATCTGTATATTCTATTTTATACGTGGTTTATTTTAGCCGTGTTGTTGCTCTATTATAGATGCATTAAGAATGGCTCGGCTCGACCGGGGCAGGACCACGCTCTCACAGAACACAGCATAAAATAGCAGCTTATGCTGTGTTTCGTATGGTGAGTGTAGAGGACCGGAAAAACCTAGCATTTCATCTTAGTCCTTAGGGGTGTCACCGCTGAGGACGCATCTGCTTTTAATACTTAAATGGGGATAAATGTAAGTATAGATGTCTATAGGCTTCAGATGCACTTACCATCACGTGGGTTGTGTGCGCGTTTGTTACCCTTATTATTTTAGAAAAAAATCTCACGGACCAGAAATAAATGAGCGTAATATTAATATTTGAATTTTATGTAATTGAACGAAAAAAAGTTTTGAGTATATCAATTTCACATCCTTTCTGTATTTTTAAATTGAGCGTTAAATAAATTAAGTCTCATAACTTACACTTCCAACACGTTTTAACATCCCAATGTATTTACGTCAATTCTATTTTGATTTGTAGAAAACTAAACAACAGCATTATCATAAGATAGAACCAGTTCTTGTAGACTGTGCTGTATGGCGCGAGCACAGGGATATTACATTAACAATAATCTTTCCAGTTTATTTACTTATTTAGGATTTATCTTTTTTATATTTAACAACTATATTCTTGTCGCGGAAGATTGACACATTTTATTGAATGGTTGTTGGTGGTTGATTATTTTATTCAATCTTATACATTACTCTCAGCAGTACTTACTTAATGTGTGCCCGACCGGGCAGCCGCCACTGCCATTGTACAACCTCACTCATCACTCCACCGCTGAACATAGACCTACTTCTTAATTTATTATGGTTGTAGCACGAATGGGTCGACTCGACCAAGAAAGGACCACGATTTCATAGAATACCAGCGTAAAATAGTAGCTTAATGCTGCTGTGTTTCGGATGGTGAGTGTAGAGAACCGGAAACACTTTTTACTGGAAACGAGGCATTCCATCTTAGTCCTCACGAATGACAATGCATCTACATTTTGATTCTTAATCGAAGATAGATATAAGTGTTTATGGACCACAGCATCGACTACACATACTAAATATACGACATACTATCAGGTAAGATGTATGCTACTTTGTCACCCCTATTATAAATCATTAAAAACTAGCCTATAAAATTGTTCGTATTTTGTCCTTGTGCAAAATGTTTGTAACTGCCCGCATAAAAAAATCCAGTGTAGGGAGTTTTTAAAAAAAAATAAATAAAAATAAATAAAAATACGCTTCTGACTTATATCTTCTCATTCAGTTTCCCAGTGTCGTGTCTCACGACACCACAGGGCAGCAATCATAACGTCCTCCAAACCAAGTGTCAGTCACGGCTGCCAGCCTCAACGGACACTAGCAACCGGCGCAAGACAACAATAAAGTGCCCAAATGTATGCGCAAGCATTGGTGCACTCTCCGTTCCCTTAGTTCCCTCACCCTCATAATCCAATGGGACGGTAATCCGACACGACCAAAATGAGATCAAGCGCAGGACCAAAGGCTTTACGTGCTTTCCGAGCCACGGGGGTAAAACCACCAACTTCTTGACTCCGGGTAGCTAGCTACTGCAAATTTCTTGACGGAAAAACTCAGTAATTGATTTTTTTGGCCCGACCCGGGGATTCGAACCCAGGACTTTATGATCAACAATCACACTACATGAAGCAGTCGCACTACATGAAGCACTCTACCAACGAGGCAGTCATAATATAGTGTATTATGACTGGCTCGTTGGTTCTATGTTTATCGTCATCGTCGTCATATACGGTCAATAATAATAAAGTAACCAAATTACCACGCTGGTACACATACCGCTATTTATCGGGGGCCGCCTAACGGCATTGACTAACCAAAACGTCAATCCACTAATTCTGCCGCCATTAACACAGTTTTAAAATTTTATGGAAATCGTCAGATTCGCTTCGGACGATT